TGTGTAGTATTAGTACTTTTATTTTGACATTGCACACACAATCACCTTAAAAACATAGATGTAACATATGATGAAATTAGTGCATACTGCGGATGATACGATCAATATGACTATTGAGTCAGCAGAAACACATTACACAGGAATGTTTGCCGGTAGCGTATTAGATTGTTTTCAAATGTAAAATTAAACACATATATGCATTGACTTGCATATATGCATAAAAAATATCACACTTAATTTTTGAGCAAGGAATCTATATCTAAAGCAATCTAAAGAGTTTATGTACAACGTGTGGGGCGGTTTGTCAGTAGAAAGTACAACAACATAGCTTATTTGTAAGTCAGGTAGAACTCTTTTAAGTTGTTTTTTTAAAATGACCTTTAGCACAATTAACAAAGGTAATCTTAAATTACGTGGTCAATTAGCAGTATTTTTGGATTTAATGCAATGTGCGTAACGTTACATACGTATACATCTTTTTGGCTAGTTTACGTGAAGGGTCTGGCAGAACTATATTTATGTCCCCATTACGTCCAATCTTTAAGTAGCAGTAGAGCTCCTTGTGAAAGAGTTCGTCCAGGGAAGTACTGCCAATTTACCTATTTCTGTCGCCAAGCAAAACTGTGAGCATTGCTGCGTTCCGGTTCCGAAGGGTAATTTGTACTGGTGAAATTACAGGCACTTTTGGACACATTGGATTTGTCAACTTATGTCTCAAGGTGTTGGCCACAGCGGCAGTGCCCTTCAGATCTTTGTGATTTAAAGTTCCGATTGGTATTGCAGCCGTTATGGACAAGCGTGTCGTTTAGTATCAGGCGCACGACTTGTTCGTCCCTCACTTAGTTATTATAAAAAAATTAAAAAAATCTCCTCAATTCCATATCGTACTCTTGCGGTCCGTGTATTTTGGTCACATTCCACTAACAGATGGATCAGGTCCTCTATTCTATTATAATAATTGCAGAGGGTTGAGGCTTTGATACCTGTCAAGTGATAAAGTTTATTTAGTGGAATGTGATCAGATCTAAATTCTAAACACTGAAACAAGAGAATCATTGTATCGTCCTCACATCGACCTATACAACTCTTCCGTGTCCAATACCAAATGTCTCTTGCTAATGAAATTTCCTCGTAGTCTTTATTCCAAATATACAAATATTTCTTGTTAATTATTTCAATATTTCTTTTATTGAATGTTTTTACTACCATGACATTTATATATTTTTTGTGAAAATGCTCGACTAAGTAGTTAGTTGTTATTATTGATACAAAGGTCATACAAACACAAACAAAAAGTCCTTCTATCCTATCGTAGATTTTTCACAAGTAGCGCTTAGGCAAAAAAGTTGCTAAAAACAAAAAAGAAAAAGATCTGCAGCAAGCACATAAATAAATTTGTAAGGTCTGCTCATTCTTTGTACCATAAATTCATTTTTAGTAACAGTAGAGCTCCTTGTGAAAGAGTTCGTCCAGTGTAGTACTGCCACCTTACCTATTTCCGCCGCTAAGCAGTAATGTCAGCATTACTGCGTTCCGGTTTTTGAAAGGTAAGGGTGGTGGTGAAATTACAGGCACATGGGACTTGTCAACTTATGTATCAGGGTGAAGGGCGCAGATCTTTAAAATGGATACTCTATGATGAAGCTGTAGAAGTATGTCAGCAACGTAACTAAACGGAGATATGTCTTATCTCCTTAGTTACTTCGTGTCAAAGTCTAACAACTTGAGTCATAGATCGGTAAATTTCTACGTAGTCGTACATAAAGGCTATCTCACACGAACGCTTTTCGTGTCGCGTTATCAACGCAGTTCTGAGGTTCTGATCACACTTATCACATGAAATCGCTCACAACCTTTCACATAACAACGCAGCGTTAGACCGGTTACATTCTTTACCTACATTTTTTTGTTTTCGAATTAACTTTTTTACCTTGTTTTCAAAGAGCAACAAATGATCAATTTAAATTCTAATGAAACAACGATCCGGTAAACACGAGGCATTTTTAAGTATTTCAGACAAATAAGTATTTATGCCCAATGTCCTAGATCTATGCTAACTTGCATAGAGGTAGGTCTAGGGTTTAATCTCATCATTTTGATTATTTTTTTAAGAATTGGTACACGTAGCAATCTCAATATCTCGAGAATTATTAGCAATTTATTATGAAATTGAAGAGTGAAAAAGTGGGAAAATATAATTACATTAGTGCAGGTGAAATTGATTTCCAGATATAAAGTGATGAAAATTGCACAAATGATTTGCATAATAACATATTACTAAAAATGGAAGACGCTCGGCCGAAGAGTCGAGCAGTCAACAGCCCCTGAGGATGCTTCGTAAAGAGGCGAAACACGTGTCGGGTATATTTTTGGTGGTGGTTCGTGACTGTAGTTGCACTTGTGTTATATATTTTATTAATTTTATGCAGAGGGAGGGTGGGATAATTAACTGCATGAAAAAATATTCAACACAAGCGCAGCTATTTTTCACGATTTAACCTTCACTGGGTTCGCGGAGTAGCAAAATAATTTACTTCCATTTTTATTAACATGGACTTCCACAAAGTAACGCCTGAATCTATTAATTAAATAATGTATTACGTCAATGTATATTATGAATCATAATTTAAAACGTATAAAGTACGTTGCTCTGTTCTTTCCGAACTTAGTTGTCTCATTTGGTGTGTTTAGAATCTCAAACCAAACTTTAGATACCTTATACGTATTTGTTTAAAAACTGTTACTTTACTGAAACGATATTTTCATTATTGGCAGTCTTGACCCAATTACGAAACCATGTTTTATAAAACTTTACTTGCGCATGTTATCTGTCTTTCGTCGATTCCCAGTAACCTTGAAATACCTTTTTTTCCCCACTACTTTAAACGTAAACTTTGTTTACATTAAATTCCTACGTCTTCATGCTATACATAACTTTCTATTAAGTATATCTTTTCTATAACTATGGATGGCTCAACGTTGTTTAGGTACTGTTTTAGGATGTAGGAGGTGTTGATTTACTCCCACACCGTATCAGTTGGCGTCGTATATTAATATTTTGTGTCAACGTAGATACTCATATGCAATACCAGCTAAAACTTAATTGTAAATATGCTCAATATGCAATTTAAGGTTGTTACAGTACAGATTAGAATAAATTATTTAATCTAATTAAGATTGTTATCAGAACGTGTACAAAATATGTCACTATGTAACCTAAATACCATTTTCGGTAGGTATTACAATGTTCGCTCGCTGGACACACCTAAATTTAAACTCTTTTACTATTGCTCATACGCAGGTACCATGTCAACAATTGTTTGGTTTCCAAGGGTTTTATTGGTTTTCAGGTAAACATTAATCAAACTGAAAACGTGTTGTTTCGCAAAGTCGAAATTCGACTGTTATTGCTCAGGAAAATTGTTCACATTTTCCTTTGTAATAGAAATGGTGTTGTGGCTTCACGTAGTATTTCGATTCTTCTATAACTGCCAATTTTATATGATATACATATATAGATATGATTTAAAAATATTCGTATTTCGGGTAGCAATAAAGACGGTCGAAATATTTTTGCAGCTAATATATGTAATATTAATGATAAAAATTGATAATAATCCAATCAATAACCGATTGCCGTATATATTTCATTTTCTGACCTAGATTCGTTCCCAATTTGCACTATGTTAGTTATAAGCTTGCTAACTCTTTGTAAGCCATAATAACAAAAAAGTAACTTACAGCATACCAGTAATATCGCACTATGTATCTTAGCATGATTTTGATTTCTTTCTGCAGCTGGACGTAAAATATGGGAGTGAATGCACATCGCGGATTTAAAAATGACGTAATTTGTAGGTGTTTGATGAGCTAAAAATAATGGGGCACAATTTGTTTGTATTCGTCGTTGCCTCCAATTTAAGACATTTAAACTTTATTTATCCAGTGATTCATTGCGTGTGTTGTGAGATTCTTGTCGTATCAATCGATAGGCATATATTGTACGTTACAACGGAAGGTGACAAAGTGATTGTTAATGAAAGTGAGCTCAGTGGCTTTTTTATAGACAAAATTTCTCAAATAGGCGCTACGACGTTGAGTTGCGGAAACTACCCCTTTACACCATGCCATATCTTCTAATACAAGAAGTATCTCCTGATTAAATTTGGTATTTACCGTACCACAATTCTAATAATTTTTACATGCTTGTATTATTACTTTTGAAAATGTAGAGTCGTTGAGTTTTTAAATAAAGCCCTGAGTGCGCCTCCTGATTTTAGAAATAGCAATTAATAACGACATATCAAAGCTTATAAGAGTATGTGTAGCTGAAATATAAAGGTCCGACATCATACGCTATTAGCTTTCACGTCTCGTCCTCCACACCCGTCCACGGATCATGTTGGACTAACTAAAATTGCAAAGAAATCCCTTCTTGTGCCAACGGCCTCTTTCGCCCCTAATTGCGGCTTGAGTGCCGATTTATTTATGAATCATGATCTTTTCGTCGAGGTTGATGAAGACTTTAAGTTTTTCTGTTTTAATACGATTATTATTTTCACGTAGGTTAGGGAGTATTTTGCTATTTGTTTTGCCGAAAGATATATGACTAATGAAATAATTTCGTTGAATACAATGTATTGATGAAGCTAATTTATTATAATGTAAAATGTGACTGGTAAAAGTTTGATTAAGCAATTTTCAACGAGATACGAAGATTTAAACACTTTACAGTTGACACAATAAAATATGAACAAAGTGCGCACAATGCCTGTTGGTCTGCGCGAATATTCACATTCACTATCCTTGACAGTTTTAGCGTAGAATACCATAGCTGTGTAAGATTACTATAGCTTATTAGACTGAAAATCTTATGTTTTCAGTGCGAGCAAATATGCGTTTCTTAAATACAATAATATGTTAAGTGTGAACATTATAATTCTAACATGTATTAGAAGGTTCGAGCATTGAAAGAAGGTGGAAAACAGTTACGTTGCGTAATGGACTGCCAAAACAGGATCGTTATTTGGGCGGAGCATGTCGACGTCTCTGTCCAATCGGTAAGCACCCTATAAGTAGGTATATTCTATACACTTATGTTTACCACGATTCTGAGGCCTTTTCTAATGTTCAGCCTAATTGTAACAGTATATATGTGTAATTTTCCTCTGTAAATCAAATGACTATTTTATCAGATATATTTGATTTGTATGTAAATGTGTTGTGCACTGTAAAGAAATAGAAAAACATTTATATGATTACCGATGAATAAAAAACCAAAATATTATAACAAAAAAGAAACTTAAAAACGTAAATTATTCAGGACACTAAATATACAAAAATAACCGATCATCATACACAAGAACACATACTAAAATATAGATAGTAAAAAAGATTTAAAATTTGTAAAATATTAATTTTAAACTTTATTACAATTAATAGACTTGCATGCGTGCGTGTTTGTAATAATTGTATAAGTTCCTTTATCAAATAATATTATTTTAAATTACACAGCATTACAGTAATTTACTAAAGCACTGTGAAATCCTAAATACAACATTTAAGAATTCACAAAAGTCATATGCCTATCCATCCTCTTATAAAACCTCAGCTATTCACCACTCACAATCACTCATCTACACGCAATAATATTATGAGTACGTAATTTAAACATATAAATGAAAGTACTGGAAAATGTTAAGAGAAATCCCTTTCATTTTCCAACAGGAAAACCTTAATTAAGCTTAAAAGCATTACTTGTATTAATTTTACAACCTTGACAATAATTATTGATAAAATTATTGACTTGATAAAATTAACAACCTTGTGTTGAAACAGCTCTGAGACCCAGCAAGCTTGCGGTACAGGTTTTAGGATGGCTCGGTTCTCACTTCACCGAATAGCAACACAGAAAGATGAACGACGACGAGCATGATCTGATATGTTAAAGGAGTTTGCACCATTCGAATATAGAATGATATAGGATTTAGTAGGTACCTGGAAGCAAAAGAATGTGAATACGTGTTGTACACGTTGTTTTTATTTTCTAGACCTACCAAACCTACTAAAGACTAAACCTACTGAAGACCTACTAAAGATTTTAACAGTTTTCGTACTAAGTCTACTTTTATATGGACAATGCGGTGTACGTTCAATAAAGACACACTAGGAACTCAATGCGGGACGTGGCTTTAAGTATCTAATCCTAAAATAATATTGTCACATTATATCTGTAGCAGTTTTGTTCAAATTATTGCACATCTATCTAGTCATTTGTGCGCTCTCGGCAAAGATCCGTAAACACTCTCTAGTAAACAGGACTGCTTCAAAAATTATGATTTGCCATCAAAACTCACGCCGGCTGGTTGTTGGGCGCGGTTACTCTCATTTAAATATTGTAAGCGGATACTAGTCCGCTATTCAAATAGAGCGTCGCGGAGATGTGGTTGCAATATTTCTGATTCAGTTTGCCGCTTTGTGAAGAAATGGATCAAATCTTGTTATCTTCCTGACTTGTGACTTTAAATAAGAACAGTATTTGAGGATGATCAATTAGAGGTAAACTGTTTTTATACAGGGATGCATTTAGTCTAAGACCCCATCCCAAAATAAAGAAGAGTGATCTTACTTGATTGTCGCAGTTGTTTGTTTGCTTGCCTGTCATTTCGCTGCAAAAGCTTAGCACAATTATAATTACCTTAAAAACAGACTTACCAACTGGACAACCGACTGGAGGTATATGATAACAGTTTACGTTTACACAGACCCTGCTAATAACGATTAACGATTTAATACGATGCAGTTAACGACAGTTAAAATGGGATTTAATTTTAAGAACCTACTAATTAAAGAAAATTTACGCACCATTTCAGGAAACCGGAGATCTGTACTGGGAGGGAGAGGACGATCCTGCCAATGAGTATCTGGAAGTGAAAGAAGAGGAATCGAGTGCCGGAGGTCGATTTCGGCGTCTTAAGAGGTTTCTGGGCCTTGACGACGACCCCTTCAGTTTGTTCGGTAAGAACACATTTTCATAAAGTAAAAAGTGGCAACCGTTTTGAAATTACTTTTGGACAGTACAGTACTCCAAATTTATAACTTCTGATATCAATATCGTTCATGCTCTGAGTAGAAGAGTTCTTTGAAATTCTGAAAAATGGTGAGAATTCAAAGTCCCAAACTATAAGTTGTCAGTATTTACCGATGAAATTTCCGAACACGTTGTGGCTAATACTATTTGAAATATAAAGAACTGAGTGTTTTCAGCATATGTGGGTTGAGTTCGCTAATAAAAGTGGTTAGTAACAAACCTATCGTGATTGCACGGGTAGATATCAGTTAGACTTTCACAATACACTGCTTCTTTTCACTCATTTAGGAATAAAAAGTAACCTTTATAATTTTGTTTTATTCGGCGGGGCAACAGGTGTGACACCTGTTGTTGCATTTTAAAAAGAGCTGAAATATACATAATGCCGATATTCACGAACTACAAATACTTAATTTCAAAAATGCTAGTAAGACCCTATTGTTACAATTAATTTGGTACACTGCACTTAAATACAAGGTACCTTGCAAAGGTACATATCGCCATATATAATCCTCATACTGTTAATTCAACATCGAAATTGAAGTACTAGAGCAGTGGTGTACAATTTCCAGGGTCGCCGGAATCCTCAACCACTCCGGAGCCCTACGATAGCGTCACTGAAGACCAACTGTCGGCAGACGAAGACACATCGTAAGTACCATATGGGTGATAAGTACTTACCAAATTTTAAACACATTCTTATATTGCTATATTGACTTAAAACCAGTTAATAGGACTTCAATTCTTTTATGGAGTAAAAACTAAAAGTTTTATTATATTACATTGTTTTATAATAGGTTATGCAGATCATATTGCATATTAGGAACGAATACGGCAACTCTTTTGTATAGTCGTTTAAAAACAATTTGTTCTTCTTCAATTTAAGAGCAATACTTTTGACGATGTAGTGCTTGCTTCAATAAATATTTTTCGTGCGTTTTCTAATGGACGAGAAATACCGATTACATTTAGAGTGGTCTCACTAATACCTCCATGTAATAAACTATTTAGGAAGTAAATAAATTATGGAATATCGTAGTTTTGTGCTCGGAGTCGAGTCTTCGATGGATGACTTATGTACTTTTACGTGTTTCAGGCAGGATAATGACGATTTGGACAATTTTGGGAGCGGTGTACCCGACAGAGATGATACCGAACCTGTGGAAAGTAAGCACATGGTGAAATTACAGGCACATGGGAACTTACGTTTCAGGATGATGGGCGTAGTGGTAGTGTCCTTTAGATCTTTGCGATTTAAAGGTCTGAGTGGCACTGCAACTCTTACGGACAGGCGTGTAGCTTACCATCAGGCGCACGACTTGGTCGTCCCGTCACTCGATGTTATAAAAAAAAGCTAAGTTTAGTGAGGTAAACAGGCTGATGAGAACGACATAGGTAAGTGGTTGTGTACAAGATAGCAAATGAGAACACGGTCGTTGCTCAGTGTGACTGAAAACGCTAACAGTTTCACTTGGACAACTACTTTTATTTTGCTCTATGTACATTAACGTTTATTATGATTATGATTATTCGCCATATTCTACAGCCAGTGTTCGCTAAAATTCAAACTAACTAGTCAGTATCTAATGGCACAATATTGAACTATGTAGTAGACATAGATGATACACTATACCTACTTGGTAGTAGAGAACAGTAAATCAACATTAAAAAAAAACTGTATTATATCAGTCTGTGTGTAAGTAATACAGCTTCAGGAAAATCACATTAGCTTCCGGTGATTCAGCATTGTTTATTAAAAATTAAATGTATATTTCAAGAGACTAGGCTCTGCTTACTTTGGCGAACGAGGACATTTTTTTTACTCACACATTCAACGTAGCCTCGCACTAGGGAACACGCATAGACAACCACAAATTACACCCAAACTCATGAGAGAAATAAATGTAGGCCATACAAATATTTCTTCCGGCCCCGGAAATCGAACCAGAGATCTCTGCGTGGCAGTCGTTCGTGGTAACCGTTCGGCTACTTGCGGAGGCAGTTAAAAATTACGAATTCGAACATCTATACATAATAAGGTAAAGATATTAACATCTATGGAAATGAAATATACCGACGGACAAATAAACTACATCAAAATACAGTAGCGCTAGCACGACCTGCTGCAAGCGCCTCTGGATGATTTAAAAAAAAAGAATATATCGAATAATATGGAAACATTCGAAAGAAAGAAACGATACTTGTTTATAATCTTAAAAAGGTAATGTCCAGTACTAGCTTTAGCTTACTTATTAAAAGAGACATGGTAATTTTTTGAACTCAATCAATAAATAAATGGAACGGAATCTATTTGATTTGTAATAAATGGGTTTCAACCACATTTAACAATTGAAAAATAAAAGAAAATGAAGCTGAAAATGTACTAACTAGCCCCACGTGCTCTTATTACCGCACAGGTTTGATGAGGGTCTTTAAAAGTCCCATTCGTATGTCATTGGTATTCTAAGGTCCGTAATTGTTGGGAAGCTGGATTTTTTCTAAATACAGGTCTTCCTAAATTATTCCGTTGTTGTGATGTGTGCAGGAGTGTGTGCTGGTAAATTTATGGTGCGGACACCGATATTGACCAAATATTTTTGAATTTGTATGCCTGCCTGATCGAGTGTCGTCTTTCACTAAAACGTAATCACGTACAAAACTTAAGCGAGTTTGTCTGTGAGTTGCAGACAACTTTGAACCATTTGCTGATCTGATGTGGTGGTATCATGCTGCCTTCTTTTTATGGTTAGGTTAGCTGTATCATGTACTTCATTTACCTCTTTTTGGATGTTAGTTGACTTCAGTAGTAAGTTAGCATAGTAAATGTCTAGCTGTTGATCATTGATCAAAGCCCCGTTTCACAAATGCCACAGCGCGGCCTTCTCGGTCGATGTGTCCATATTACCGTGAAAAAAGTGGTATCAAGAAAATACAAAACCGCTATTCAATTAGTAGTGACTAAATAATATTATAACAATAATTAGTCACTACTAATGTATAATCGGCGGGTGAAGTGGCAGTGCCCCCCCGATCTTTACTATTTACAGCTCTGAGTGATACTGCAACGTCATGGGTAGGCGGGTTTCTTAACGCCGGACTCAATCTTTGATTTTCGCACATCGAAGAAGGTTCACAATTCTTAGAAAATGTATGAAGTCCAATTGGGTCATTGTGGCGGATTATGGCCTAAACCTTAACCTGAGGAAACCCGTGCTCAGCCGTGAGACGTATAAATGAGTTGTTGTTGATGATGATGATATATCACATTACACAAATATGTAGTTGTGTATGTAATAACAATATCTTACGAACTCGGCCCCTATATCCCTAATCAATCATCTAATTCATTGTTTAATAGAGATAATCAGTACATAGCAAGGTTTGTTGTATTCATAATTTTATTGCAGAAACGCTACGGGTGACATTCGTGGTGAACCAGCCATACAGTAGTGAGTACTCCAATAGGGACTCACCTCAGTTCCAGAATTTCTCACGATCTTTAGCCGACGCAGTTAATGTCCTCTTTGAATCGCTGCCCGGCATCCAGAGAGCCAGTCTTGTAAGGATACAGTAAGTTTACGTTTTTTTCCATCTTGTCTGTATGGCTGCGTAATAATTTATGCAGTCTGTCCCGAAGAATGACATGATATCATCTCAGTACAGAGCACTAAAAAAACCGACGTCAAAAGTCATTCATCCCCTAGTTTCCCACCCTTATTTTCTTCAAATTTAAATAGGACCACTACTTACCGATATACCCTCTTTGCAATAAAAAACAATCATCAAAATCGGTTCCCAAATGGAGCCGGAGTTATCACGTAACATATGTAATAAAACACAGTCAAATTGAGAACCACCTCCTTTCTACAAAGTAATCTACCAAATGAAATGCAGTACCCAAGTAATAATAATGCAATACAGCATAAACGTGGCATAAACAATAGCGACTTAGCGAAATGCTTAGTGGGTTTCACCTATAAAATATATTTAGAACTAGAACAATTTTTATAAAAATTGGCATTTACGCCCTTTCTTCCCCTAAGTATCGATATAACGACTAAGAGTGGTAACACACGGCGACTTTTAGCAGCGACGCAAACGGGCGATGGCATCGTTACACTTGCGATTTATAGGCGATTGACGCAATTGCATCGCTACAAACGCGCAATTGCATTGATACAAACGCGCAATTGCATCGATGCAAACGCGCTATTGCATCGATGCAATTGCGCGTTTGCATCGACGCAATAGCGCGTTTGTATCAA